GCAGATTCGGAAGCACCAGGAGCAGAAGTGCGGGACCTCTCCTGAGCCCTACTATAAGGCCTTGGCAGCTTATTAATTTGAGACAGTCTGAGACAGTCCGCCGAGAGCACAGCTGAAGGAGGACAGTGGGTTCTAGGGACCTGCTGTGAGTGATATCAGCCCTGATCCTCATTTTGACGTGAAGTCTCACGAAGAAGTCTCATGGCACAGATTGGCGAGTCTTCCTGCCGATGGATGGAAAAAAACATGCCTTGAAGTGTTTTCTTCAGCATGATTGCTTAAGACTGGACTAGGACCCCATGGCTGGGGGCCTAAGTCTCATGAACAGGGCCTGGCATGTGGGAAAGTGGGTGGGGCCAGGCCCCAAGTTTTTATCAAGCTTCAAACCGCCTGCACTTTGAAGGAAAGGACTGTATAAGGTGGGCCTGGCATGTGGGCCAGTGGGAGGGGCCAGGCCCACCTTTAAAATCAAGGATCTGGGGCCTGGCGTGTGGGTCAGCGGGAGGGGCCAGGCCCCAGATCCTTTTTGAATCGGGTCTGTTTTGGGTTTTGTGTTATGTGTGGACTTTGAATTTTTGTAATAATCAAGCAAAAAATTTACAACACTTTTAAATGACATAACTACGCTTTTATAGGAAAAATCGTTTCAGTTTGAAGGGGGCAGGCGCATCGCACTGGCGCCACCCATGCGTACTTTTGCGGCTGATGCGCCGGTTGAACAAGAGCCAGATGGCTCTGGGAACGGTGTGAGGGTGAGGCCATCGCTGCCCCCCTCTGCCGACAGAGTCCAGCTCAGACCAGCTTCCTCAATCGCAACTGAAGCTGCCGCCTCCTCTTCAGGTCCAAGGCGCAGGCGCACACAGGAGTCCAGCCGCGAGACGTCCCGGAGTCATGATCATTAGAGGCGACCCCAGGATGCAACGGTGCGTCCATAGCTGAGGCAGCTGACTGTTCCTTCCCGGTTTGGAGTCGGGAGGAAGCAGAAGAACAAGCTCGGCAGTTTTCCATCAGTCAGGGTTTTAGTTTCAACACATGTTACCAGCTGTTGAACAGCACGCCTCTGCCCAGGCAAGCCACGGAGGATGTCACCACCTCAAGGAAGTCAGCTGGCTCCTCTTCCATGGAGGCGTCGACCCCAGCCACCTTGACGTTGGGCCTTTATTCTCATGGGGCTAAGTGTGGGATTACAGTTGAAACCTTAAGACATCAACAGTTGGTTCAATACCTGAATAAATTCATGTGCCACCACGCCCCAACCCCAACGTGCTGGACGTCCCTCCACATAAATCGTAACTGGCCGGTTCCAGTGCATGCCGACGTGCACAATCTCTGGGGCAGTTCCAACCTTAGCATCAGCTTAGGTCCATTCTCTGGAGGTAAATTGTGGTTGGAAGTTTCGGAAGAGGAAGCCCATAAAGCATCCACGCACTGGGTGAGCATGCCCAACGGGGAACAAATCCCAGGCGTGGCTGTGAGCAGTCGCCACCGCATGATTCGTTTCTGTCCCAAACTTCGCCACGCAGTGCTACCCTGGGCTGGCAGCCGGATTTCACTCACAGCATATGTCACGCGTGGCCTAGAGCACATTGGCAAGGCCCTGCTGAACGAGCTCACTAAGCTGCATTTTCCATGGGCCTCACCAGTCTTGACTACTGCGGAGTCAGTGAGCAACGACACCAGTGCTCACGATGCGTTAAAGATCTCTTTGGCAGAAGCCATACCTGAGGCTGCAGCGGGGTGGGAACAGGAGGTATCAGATTCCCATAGTGGTTACCACTTAAGTCAGAATGTAGTAAATACCTCTCAGGTTGTTATAGTTGTGGAAGAGCTACCTTCTGTTTCCACCGCGCTTCAGCAGGCAGGCTACCAAGCCATCCATATGCACCACAACCATGTCAATTCATCCGCCACCGCTCACCTGTCTCAGCACATCAAAGCACATTGGGTGAGAGGAGTTTGGGCGGATCTTCCGCTCAAAGGCCGTCATGTGCCTAATCACAGGTACGCCTCCCACATGACGCAGCTGCGTGTTTGGATGCAGTTGTGCGTGGAATTAGGGCTACCAGCGGTGTTGTTTGGAGCTTTTGGGTCCCAGTGGCTCACGCCTGCGGTCGCCGACTTAGCAGGAAGAGGACAGTTGTATAAATCCCACCATCGCATCTGTCACTGGAACCTTAAGCTTGATGCCTCCCAACAAGAGCCTAGTTCCGCCTGCTTCGTGACAGCGTCGGCTCACAGCCCTCTTGCTGGACATCCATGCCAGTGCTCGGAGCCACAGTCTCGCCATAAGCTAGATTGGGGCGTCACCAGGTTGAGTCATCAACGACGGCTTCGTATGTTCCTGCACGCCCAGGTTTCCTCTCAAGTGGCGATGGTATGGATACACACCCATCTCAAGCAGAGCACACCCGACAAGCATTCGTGCAACACAAGATACCCGCCTTCGATTTCGGACCGTGCTGTGGCGCCGCACCCGTGGCAGCCCGCACCTTGCACCACAGTGGCTACGGCTGCCAGCATGCCTGCTGTCAGCCGACTTCTCCCTCCCCGATTAGCCGGAGCAGTAGATGGCACAACGTTTTCAACTTTTCAGCCAGGGAACACCCCGCAACACGTGCTCAAAACAAATGTGAGTCAGGAAGCCGGTCAGGACCGAGTGTCAGGGCCGAGACGGGCTGAAGCTCCAGCTTCCCACTCCTCTCAGCACGTGCAGCAGGCATTCCCTACTGAGGCACGGCTAGCGCAAAAGGCTCGGGAGAAAGACCGTAAAGCCCGAGGAGAAGGTGCAACCCAACGAAAACAGGTAGTTCAGAACCACACAGATGACTGTGGCACATCCATGGCCAGCTTGGTCAAATACCTGCCAAAGACTCATAGCGAAGAGGACCTCCACCCCGCTCATATGCAACTGTTGTGCACCCCACAGGCCTTGCCTCCCCATTGGCTTGTTGGTAGTCGTGCCCCGGCACGCCTTCCAGCTCAGGCAAGTTCATGTCACTTAGCTGCGTCGGCCGCCCAAGCCGCTCAGATCCTCAAAGACTGGCCGCTCGGTCAATCGGATATATGTGTTCTCAGCGGTGGCCCTGAC